AACAAATGGTATTTCCAGTTTTATCACTCTCCTGAAATAAACAAAACGACTACAGCACCTGTCTGCTGAAATAAAATTTGCTACTACTCGATAAAGGATGCTGCTAATATTAGGTCTTCACCTAAGAACTGCCATGGAAACATGCCTTGGGTGACATTTCTCAAAAGCAGTGTTCAGAAAGAGACCAGATGTCTAATCCTGCCACAAAAAAGGCAAAACTGCAGCTGACTCAAAAATTTTTATGTCAGTGTCTGTGAAATCACAAGTAGCCTTGACCTCAAGCTTGAAGAAATGGAATCATAGGATTAATAATAAAGCAATTGATTTTTTTTTGCTCAAAAATTTAACTCTAGTGCTTAATTATAACTTTATTTTGCTAAGTGGTTGTATTTCACTGCTTTCTTGTGTTGAAAACCTAACTTCAGTAGAAAATATGTGAGAAGGTGAGACAGTAACTGGCTTTTGAACTGGGGACTTGTCATCTATAATACATAACAATGAAATGAATCATAACTGGTGGAAAATTATATATGGAAGTTAATATTAAGGCATTTTGGTAGCTGTTTTGGTTTCTGTGCTTTAGACCATTGTTGCCCACATTATAAATCTTGCTAATATTAGCAACTGATGTTTTATAAATCTCTCTGGTAAAATTTTATAATTTGTCACAGCTGAAAGCTTAGAATTTTGGCTTCTTCATTGTAAAAATCCTTTTCTGCCTTTGTTATCTAGGAAGCAACTAATAATGTAGACTTTAGTTTGGAAGAAAGAAATTAAACAACTGGTAACCACATTGATTTGAGCTTGAACTTTAAAGTTGATATTTTGGGCTGCATTTTTGCTTTTGGTGTATATGTTGTTTGTTTAAAATCTCTGCATTCTTAGAATCGTCTTGTTTTTAAACTGAATATTGTCTGGATTATCGCCCCTTATTGAAAACCAAGTTCTGGCATCAGTGTTATTTTCTTAAGGCAGCTCAGTATGCTGAGTGTGTTACTGACTACTTTTAGAAAGCATTGGGAGAGATTTTATTGCTTATGTGTACATGCTTGTCTGTGTGTGCGTGCATGTGTATAAGGGAAGGAGAAAAGAATTTTAAGTAAAATCAATAAGCCACGGAGTCACTTTTATTAAGCTTTAATAATAAAAGATGCTTACAGGCTTTGCTTCAGTTTTCCGAAGCTACTAGTGGTGGTAGGTACTGAGAACATACACGTTCTCTGTTTATTACCGAACCCTTTCTGTCTGTTGGACACAAATGACTTGCAGCATCTATGAAATTTCTAATATCATTCCATACAAACACACATACACACATCCATACTTACGAGAATATATGTTCCATTAAAGTAGGACCTTATCTGGCTTATTCACAAAATTATTTCCAGAATATTTATTAAATATGCCAGTGTTGCCCACTTTATAACTATTTGTTTGTATGTAAACAATAGTTTCTGATGAAAGATCTTGTTCTGTGCTGCATTATGTTATTTAAAGTGTTTACGTTATTCAAGACTTTATATTAATCATCAGGCTATTTCTGAAATGGATAATTTCTTTAATATCACAATTGTTTTAATTCAATACCAACTAGAATGTCTTCAGAAAGAAAAAAAGTAAAATATATAGGTATTAAAGTAATTTTAAAATAAGAAAACATTTTATTCATACCATTGAATTATCTTCTAGGGAATAGACAGTAAAACACAAAGCAATTGAACTTTTTTATGTTCAATTAACTTATGAAAGAACATTGTGAGATTTTATGAATCACTTCTTTACTGTTCTAATAGTAATGCTACATTATCACAATTTTTATATTCCATAAGTATAATATTGATGAAAATTAGTTTGGTACAGGATCAGACTTGCAATGGAAGTTAAAATCCTGTATTTTAAAAAGGATGGTGTAGTTTTTTACTAATACAGTCATGCATTGCTTAACAGTGGAGATATGTTCTAAGAAATGTATCCTTAGGAGATTTTCTGTGTGTACATCATAGCATATACTTACACAAATCTAGTGGTGTAGCCTACTACATAGCTAGGCTATATGGTACAGTCTGTTGCTCCAAGGCTACAAACCTGTGCAACATGTTACTGTGTTGAATACTGCAGGCAATTATAACACAGTGGTATTTATGTAGCTAAATATATCTAAACATAGAAAAAGTACAGTAAAAATACGGTATCATGCCTGTAATCCCAGCACTTTGAGAAGCCAAGGCAGGTGGATTGCCTAAGGTCGGGAGTTCAAGACCAGCCTGGCTAACATGGTAAAACCCTATCTCTACTAACAAGACAAAAATTAGCCAGGCATGGTGGCAGGTGCCTGTAATCCCAGCTACTCGGGAGGCTGAGGCAGAAGAATTGCTTGAACCGGGAGGCAGAAGTTGCAGTGAACCGAGATCATGCCACTGCACTCCAGTCTAGGTGACAGAGTAAGACGGCATCTAAAAAAAAAAAAAAAAAAAAGATGTTTCTAGTGATCCATACATTTTTCTTAGAGCAACAATGGACTGGTAAGACACTCACTCTTTGAAAACAGCAGACAAAATTTTGCCTATCACAGCAAGTTTATACTGATGTGTGCCTGTTGTATGAGCAATCCCAGCACAGTTATTCTTTCCTTGAAATCCTTAATTCTTGTAGGGGCTGTCTCATCCGCTGTGGGTCTTTCTGGTGCATGACTGTAGTCTCAGCTACTTGGGAGGCTGAGGTAGGAAAATTGCTTCAGCTGGGGAGGCAGAGGTTGTATGAGCCAAGATCGCGCCACTGCACTCCAGCATGCATGACAGAGCAAGACTCTGTCTCAAACACCAAAACAAAGCCAAAAAAATACGGTATCATGATCATCTAAAACACTGCTATATGGCATAGGACTGTATTTCTAATATTTGATCTGCCCTTATCGTTATCATTAAACATATGTAGTTGGAGGCAGAGTAAAATACTGTGGCCTCTATGTAGGTAGTCTTACATGGTGTATCATTTTAATTATGATACTAATATCACCCTTTAGTGGGTAATTATTTTCTCATGACACTGGCACTGTAGTAGAATTCAATTCTGATTGGCTACAAAGTATCTTTCTTCACTGGAGGTTAAATTATCCTACAGTATTATTTCAGCGCCTTTACCTTATTGAGAAAATATTGGTAAAATGATTTATTCTCATTTAGCAGGTGAGTAAATGGAAGCATAGTCAGCGTAAGTCAGTTGCACAAGGTCAGTTAATAAATCGTTTTCATGTGGGTGAGATCACGTTACCTAAGTCACAGTCTAGAACTCAAGGGACTGATCAGTTCTGAGACATATCAAAAGAGTAAAAATAAAATGTTTACCTTGTTGGTTAGAAATAATAAAGTTGCAGACTCAATTCAGACTGATGTCCTAAAGGTTTCCCTTTCAAAATTTGCGAGTGAAATTATGTACATGTATTACCAAGTTATATTTTGCAGCTTTTTATATTATTTGCATGTGTTGATTTGTATGAAGCAGTAATGAAATACATTGAAATAGTGCTTTAGATGGTTGTGATAATAGAAATGAATTTCCAGTTGCAACAAATACTTTTTTGGTATTAAAAGAGCATAATAGAAGCCAGTAGACTATAAAACAGATTTAAATAGTATTTTTTTTAAGAAAAGAGGAACATAATTACACTAAAGAATATTAAAGACAACCATTTAAAAATAAAAAAATAGTGTCTAATCAATTATCAATGTGTATTGCCTCTAACTTATTGGACAACTGTGCTATACCTCATTTATTATGCATTTCTTTTTCTAAATTAAAAAAAAAATACTAGGTAAAGATATTACTCATTCTTTTGTTATTTTCTGTTTGAGGATGTTGTTGAGTTTGCTACTAGCAAATCCTTTCCTCTTTTTTCTTTAGTTCAGTGTTTCCTACATGTGCTTTCCAGAGTTTCATGGGAAACTGAGATAGAAAATTTAATTAGAGAGGTTTGGGAAATATTAGATAGTTGCCTATATCTTAGAAATTAGTAATGCATTTCAACCCTTTCAAAGTTTCAAGAAATGATCTAAGATTTAAAAAGCCTATTGCCGTTTGTTTACCCCCAAATTCCACAAAAGGGTTTGGCTGTGAAATATGTATGTGTGTTTGTGTAGATAGATATACAGATGTATAGATTATATATCTCACATAATATATATTAACATTCTGGGCATCTTTAGAAACACAGGAAGAAGTAGCAGTGATGAGGATTGATTAGGGAAAGAGGGAGGTGATGTGGCTTGGCCAAAATACATTTTATGAGTTAGAATGTTTGGAGAGTTACTGATTTAGTTCAGAAACTTGCCTGTTTTCCACTTTTTAGAAACATCAAGTAAACCTTTCTTTTGTTTTCTGAATTATATAGTTTGCCAAAATTGTTGGATTTTTATGCATGATTTTCCCCTTTATGCATGATTTTCCCCTGAACATATATAATGCTATTTTGAGTCTGGAAAACATGGACTGTGGCATATCTTACTGGATTATTTTTATTTCATAGGAGTTACTTTTCTTGGAGTGAGACATTTAACTGAAAAGGTCATTGCTCAGGAATCACTGCTTTTTCAGAAGTTTCTGTTTTCTCAAATGTTTTGAGAAATACTGTTGTCACTTTTAATAGTGATCATGAAAAATAGATTAAAGTTAAAAATTCATAAAAACCTCATTTAGTTTTTTTTGGCAGATACAAGAATGTTTTATATTCTTAATTTGAATGTGATATATATTTTCAATTCTTTAATTTTCAGAACTTGATAAAGAAAAAATTGTAACTTGAAAGCTTTTAGGAGCAAACAGCTTCTCTTATGCCTGGGTATTTGGTTTGCTTTATTTATGGCAGAATATGGAAATATTTTAAAACTAAGATTTTTTGAAAACCCCATTTTATTAATATTGCCGTGTTAAATGTATAACTATTGAACTGTCAGTGAAATATGAGACATTTTACCCAGTGACATTTTAAATGGATCTCATTGTAGGGGAAGCCTGTGGGAACACCAGATGCTGGCGCTTATTTCCGTGTGCTTGCAGAGCATGGAGTAGCTGCCTTGTTTACAGCACCAACAGCAATTAGAGCAATCCGTCAACAGGACCCTGGGGCAGCCTTGGGGAAGCAGTACTCTCTGACAAGGTGAAGTCGGGATGCACAGGGCAAATGACATTAGAAACTGCAATCAAAATGAAAAAGTGAATGTTACAATTTTTTCTGGTACTGCAATACTCTTACGGGAAGAGCCAAAAGATACTGAGGGTTATTAAGAATAACTTGTCTAAATATAATTTTGGAATAGTTGGAATTTTAACTCTGCTTAGAGATTTTAAAATATTATATCATGTTAATTTCAGTTCAAATATTACCAAAATATTTTTTTAAAATCACTCCTTATATTTTCCTTAAAAGATAAAATGCCAATTGTGACTTAAAATGCACAGACAGTTGGATATAGATATACTAGTATCTGTCTTTTGAAAACAGAAGAATGGGTTAAATGAAGGGATGACATTTGAATTCATGTACACAGATAAAATGTGAAAATTATAGTCCAAATTAAATATGTTGAAAATTGAAGAACAAAAAGACTTAGGTAAACACACAATAATAGTGGGAGACTTTAGCCACACTGACAGTATTAAACAAATCAACAAAGCAGAAAACTCAGAAAATTCATTCTTCTTATCTTCATATGGGAAATACTCTAAAAACCAACCATGTGCTCAGCCATAAAGCAATTCTCAACAAATTAAAAAAAGATACAAGTGACACTCAGACCACAGTGAAATCAAAATAGAGATTATATAAACAAGCTCTCTCAAAACCATATGATTACATGGAAATGAAACAATCTGCTTCTGGGTGACTTTTGGGTAAACAATGAAATTAAGGTAGAAATCAAGAAATCCTTTGAACTGAATGAAAACAAATGTACAACATACCAGAATCTCGAGTTATAGCTAAAGTAGTGTTAAGCGGAAACTTTATAGCAATAAATTCTCACAAAACAGTTAGAAAGATCTCAAATTAACAACCTAACATCATGCCTAGAGGAACTAGGAAAACCAGAGCAGACCAACCTCAAAGCAAATAGAAGAAAAGAAATCACCCAAATTAGATCTAAACTGAACAAAATTGAGATGCTAAAAAAAATCAAATGAAAGATCAGTAATACCAAATGTTGAGTTTTTAAAGGATAAAGATTGATAGACCACTAGCTAGATTATTTAAAAAAGAGAGAAGTTCAAATAAACAGAATCAGAAATGACAAAGGGGACATTAGCACTGACTCCACAGAAATGTAAAAAATCCAGAGACAATTACAAATACCTCTATGCACACAAGGTAGCAAACCTAGAAGAAATGGATAAATTTCTGAAAACATACAATCTCTTAAGATTGAACCAAGAAACACTTAACACACCAATAAGGATTCTCGAAACTGAATTAGTAATAAAAACCTACCAACCAGAAAAAGCCCTGGACCAGATGAATTCACAGGTGAATTCTACCAATATAAAGAAAAGCTGGTACCATTCCTACTGAAACTATTTCAGAAAATTGAAGGGGACGGATTCCTCCCTAACTCAATCGATAAGGCAAGCATCATTCTGATACTAAACTCTGGCAGAGATGCAGTGAAAAGGAAACTTCAGGTCAATATTCCTAATGAACATAGATGCAAAAATTCTCAACAAAATGTTAGCAAACTGAATCCAGTAGCACATAAAAAAGCTTATCCACCGTGATCAAGTAGGCTTTACTCCTGGAATGCAAGGTTGGTTCAACATACATATGCAAATCAGTGAATGTGATTCATCACATAAACATAACTAAAAACAAAAGCTACATGATTATCTCGATGCAAAAATGATTTCAATAAAAATCAATATCCCTTCATTTTAAAACCCTCAACAAACTAGTCATCAAAGGAACATACCTCAAAATAGTAAGACTCATTATAACAAATCTACAGCCAATATTATACAGAACAGGCAAAAGCTGGATGGATTCGCCTTGTAAACCATAACAAGAGAAGGATGGCTACTCTCACTACTCCTATTCAACATTGTTCTGGACGTCCTTGCCAGATTAATCAGTCAGGAGAAAGAATGAGAAACAGTATCCAGATGGAAAAGAGGAAGTAAAACTCTTTGCAGATCTGATTTTATACCTAGAAAACCCCATAGTCTCTGCCCAAAGGCTCCTAGATCTGATAAATAATTTCAGCAAAGTTTCAAGATACAAAATCAGTGTACAAAAATAAGTAACATTTCTATATACCAATTACGTCCAAGCTGAGAGCCAAATAAAAAATGCAATTTTATTCACATTAGCAATTCCGAGAATAAAATACCTAGGAATACACCTAACCAGGAAGGTAAAAGAGGTCTATAATTAGAATTACAGAACACTACTGAAAGAAATCAGTGATGACACAAATTAATGGAAAGACATTTTATGCTCATGGTTAGGAAGAATCAATAATGTAAAAATAGCCTTACTGCCTAAAGCAATTTACAGATTCAATGTTATTCCTATCAAGTTACCAATGACATTTTTCACAGAAGTAGAAAAAAAAGCATTCTAAATTTATATGAAAAAAGAGTTCAAATAGCCAAAGCAATTTGAAACAAAAAGGATAAAGTCAGAGGCATTATACTACCCAACTTTAAACTATACTACAAGGCTATATTAACTAAAATGGCATAGTACTGGAACAGAAACAGACGCATAGAGCAGTGGAACAGGTTAGAGAACCCAGAAATAAAGTTGCAGATCTACAAACATCTAATCTTTGACAGTTAACAATAACAAGCAATTGGAAAAGGACTCAATTCAATAAATGGTGCTAGGATAAGTGTCTAGCCATATGCAGAAGATTAAAACCAGACTCTTTCCTTTCACCATATACAAAAATCGACTCATCATGAATTAAATACTTAAATATAAAACGTAAAACTATAAAAAAAACCTGGAAGAATGCATAGGAAATACCATTCTGGACATAGGGCCTGGCAAAGATTTCATGATGAAAACTCTGAAAACAATTACAACAAAAACAAAAACAAAAACTGACAAGTACAATTAAACTAAAAAGCTTCAGGACAGTGAAAGAAACTATCAATAGAATAAACACATAACCTAGAGTATGGGAGATAATATTTGCCAACTATATATATCAGAGAAAGATGTAATTTCTAGAATTTATAAGGAGTTTAAACAATTCAACAAACAAAAACCATTAAGGAATGGGCAAAGGACATTATATTAGTCAATTTTCCCATTGTATAAAGAAATACCTGAGACTGGATAATTTATTAAAAAAAAAAGAGGTTTAACTGGTTTATGGTTTTACAGTCTGTTCAGGAAGCATGATGCTGGTATCTGCTCAGCCTCTAAGGAAGCCAGGAAATTTGGCAAAGACATAGGATCAGCCTAAATGCCCATCAGTGGTGGACTAGATAAAGAAAATTTGGTGCTTATATGCTACAGAATACTACAATACTACACAGCCATAAAAAATCTGATGGCCTTCACAGCAATAGGGATGGAGGTGGATACTATTATCCTAAGCAAATTAATGCAGGAACAGAAAACCAAATTCTCCATGTTTATCCTTCTAAGTGTAGTTAAACATTGAGGACGTATGAACACAAAGAAGGGAACAAAAGACATCAGGCACTACTTGAAGGTAGAGCGTGGAGAGTCAGGATCAAAAAGTACTTATCAGGTAATATGCTTATTACCTGAGTGACTCAATAATCTGTAAACCAAACCCTGAAACACACAACTTACCTATTTAACAAATCTGCACATGTGCCCCCTGAACCTAAGATACAAGTTGGAAAAAACAAAGTGAAGAAAAATATTTTATCTTTGTTTGTAATAATGTACTTTGAATAGTCTAGAAATTTTTCTGCTGGTTTATGGACCTACTTTTTTTTTTTTTTTTTTTGAGACAGAGTCTTACTCTGTCTCCCAGACTGGAGTGCAGTGACACGATCTTGGCTCACTGCAACCTCTGCCTCCCAGGTTCAAGAGACTCTCCTACCTCAGCCTCCCAAGTAGCTGGGATTACAGGCGGCTGTCACCACGCTTGGCTAACTTTTGTATTATTAGTAGAGACAGGGTTTCACCATGTTGACCAGGCTGATCTCAAACTCTTGACCTCAGGTGATCTGCCTGCCTCGCCTCCCAACATGCTTGATTACAAGTGTGAGCCACTACGCCTGGCCATGGACCTACATTTTTGTTTAATATTATGTATAGTCAAAGATAATTATAGCAAGTTGCATCTTCAAGGCAAATGCCAATGTCAATCTCATTGAACCTCTTTCAATTAGTTTACTATCCTAAACTAAGATTTATAGTGTATTCAAATCAAACAGTGTGCTTGAATTAAGGTGGCATACATTGTTTAAGTGAAATGCCAGAGTATTTTAATTTTATGTTTCTGTAGCCCAAGGGAATTAAAATAGATACTATGCCCTGAATCCCAGTGTCACTGACTGCCTGTAAACCATGTCAGACCCAGTATCAACATAGGTCTCTTCAGCTAAGACTTCCAAGTGTTAGAAGGACAAGGACAGTAGGATCTCTAAAGCCCTTGTCATAATAGCCTACACAATCAATGTCACTGCCACAAACTCCTGCAGCCAGGCCTCTAAGGAAGGCATCTGCTGTCATCACGAACACTAATCTCAGCTGGAGAAGCTGTATGGAGATGACAACACTGCATTCACATAGTACCAGAACCACTGCACTCTGCCCAACTGTTGCCCGCAGGCCCATCATCAGGTGAAAGTTTTCCCCTGTGAAAGTCACTCTCTGACATTTGGAAGAGGAGACTATACCAGAAAATGCACAAGCATTAATGAGGGAATACCAGAAACATGAAAACACAATTTCACTGAAGAAACATGAGAGTTTCCCAGTATCTGACCCCCAAATTTACAGATGTTTATGTATTTATTGAAAAGGAATTTAAAATAATGATCTCAAGAAAGCCAAGAGAGACAAAAGAGAATACAAGTAGACAATTCAATGAAATCGAAATTGTTCTTGATCTTATGAATAAGAAATTCAACAAAGAAATAGATATTATAAAAAAAGAATAAGAAATCTTGGAGACAAAG